TCTACACACTCTTTTGCCTGTTTCTGAATTTGATTACATGGGGGAAAGCAATAAGCCAGTTTAGTGCATGACACATAATGGCTTTTGGTAATTCACATCCTCTCTAAAGCCTTTGTCGTGCCTCTGGTTGTGTGTGGATGCGTGAAGTTAAGCGGTGTCTTTTTTCAAAGCATGTTTAGTGCAATTTGTCAACAATGATTTGAATTGTGCCTTTGTTAGAATATAAACATCCAATGACTTTTAAAGGGGGTCATATGATGCGATTTCAATTTTTCCTTTCTCTTTGGAGTGTTACAAGCTCTTGGTGCATAAAGAAGATCTGTAAAGTTGCAAAGACTAAAGTCTCAAATCCAAAGAGATATTCTTTATAAAAGTTCAGAGTCAGCCACACCTACCTAAAACGGCTCGTTCTAACACGCCCCCACATGTCTACCTCACTATGTGGGAAGATTTGCATAACGCCGCCCAAATGTTCACGCAAAGAAAGAAGGTGTAACTTTTAGTCTCACTGTAGTTTTGTTGACGCTGTGTGCTTCGTTGTGAAAGCGAAACTACTTTGTTTGGTCTTCCAAAAGAGGACGATATCCGCTTCGTCATGCCTAGAGCTGATCTGTGCTGGTCGCTGAGGGAATACATCAACTTTCACCGTGGACGAAGCGGAATCCAGCCTGGGGTCCGTCACATGTGGTTGCCGCTCATTCGTCGGATCCGCCGGGCACGCCGTTCTTGACCTCGCCGCCTCAGCTCACTCTAGCCCGGCCTCAGCATGTGGAAAATAATGTGTTTTTTTAACTTTAAACCGCATAAACACATTTCATTACATCAAATACACAAAATAATGTTCTTTTTAGCAGCATCATATGACCCCTTTAACCCTATAAAGTCAAAATTCTAAAGCCTCGACAACTGAAGGCTTGTAGTTGATATATTGGGAGATATAGAGTAACAACTGATTTATATTATTTACTTTTTTACATTGGTAAATCTTATGAATATCTACTGATTAATATGCATTTTATGTACATAGTCTGTTATAAAGATCTCATTGATTTACATTACAAGCTGTCAGAATTTCTTATTACTTTTTGACCATATCAGCATCTACACAAAATTGCAATTTTTGCTCAGTTTGGGCCATAGAAATAAAACAGGTGTTATTTTTTCCGCCTCAAGTATGAGCTCCATATTCTCACTATATCATATGAGCCTTAAAAGCCTTATATATCAAATATGATACCCAACAAAACACATATGCACATTCTTTTATTATTTCATATGTCAGGCTTAATTAATACTGTATCAGCATCATATGTCACATCCATTGACTCATAAAGTATTGACTATTTGATTTAAAAATCAGTTCCTAATGTTTGCATTGCTAAACGCATCCTTTCTCTCCTCCTCTACAGGTGTCTGAGTAGCCTCCTCTGCCTGCTGCCAGCATGTTTAAAAACAGCTTGAAGATGCTGCTGACGGGGGGCAAAAACAACAGGAAGAGCCGAAACAGCAGTGGTCAGTCTCAACTTTCATGTTTGTCCACTAAGACACAGGGAGCGGGGAGGCTTTGGGTGCTCGAGCCCCTCAAAAGTGCCCCTCTCAGACAAATAGCAATGATAATACTGTGGTCAATAAAACAAAATGCATTTGAATTATAATTAACATGACAATGTGTATTTTTACATATCTGTCAGTCTGAGGCGTTGCCATGATGTGTTGCTATGGGTTGCGTGTGTTTTGCTTGAGCGACTGATATTCCATAGTCTGTTCGGAATAGGCTCTCGAGCCATATATGATTCTTTCAGTGAGTGCCTATGGGTCGACAGAAGGAAAAAATAAACCAAGCAATTTTTTTTAACTTTTTTTTTTTCAACTGACTACAAAGCACTGCACAAAACCGTGCAGCACCAAAACTCTGCTTTATTATATTACCATTTTTGATAATTATGCAGCATTATGAATGTCTCTTATGCTCATCTTATGCTGCATTTATTTGATCAAAAATACAGAAAAAATTGTAATATTGTGAAATATTATTACAATTTAAAATAATGTTTTTTTAAATTTTAATATAAGATATCATATATTTCTGTGATGCAAAGCTGAATTTTCAACATCATTACATGATCCTTCAGAAATCATTCTAATATGCTGATTTATTACAGCACAACAGTTTCCAACACTGATAATAAATCAGCATATTAGAATGATTTCTGAAGGATCATGTAATGATGTTGAAAATTCAGCTTTGATCACAGGAATAAAATATACTTTTAAAAGTATATTAACCTTTTGATCAAATAAATGCAGGCTTGATGACCATAAGTGACTTCTTGCAAAAAAGGGGGTCTGAATACTTTCCGTACCCACTGTATATATATTTGTGACCCTGGACCGCAAAACCAGTCATAAGATTTATACATCATCTGAAAGTTGAATAAATATGCTTTACATTGATGTATGGTTTGTTAGGATCGGACAATATTTGGCTGAGATACAGCTATTTGAAATCTGAAAGAAGAAAGTCATATACACCTAGGATGACTTCAGGGTGAGTAATTTATGGGCTAATTTAAATGTTTGGGTGAACTAACCCTTTAAGTCAGCTTTTGTGCTCCAGGGTCACATTTCTATTTTACATTTGAGCCCTTGCCCATGAGGAACTCTCTGCACGTCCCTGCACTAAAATATGACCTAAACATGACTGCATACTTGTTTGCATACATTGTCTTTGTACGTTATATTTGAATAATGATTTGTAGAGGAATTAGAAATTATTTATCAGCTTCCTCTTTGGACGCTAGTATCGAATGCCATGGCCCCGGGCTGGTAATACAGAAGCATATAAGAGAACGAACAGCCTAAAGGCTCGATTATCCATCAGGCCTCAGTGCTGGAACTCATTTCTCATATGTTCTGCCAATATATGAGTTTCCATATGCTTCTAATATAACTGACAAATCTGCAGCAGGCACCGCGTGAGACATGCAGTCTCAGACTCAGACATCCACAGGCCATTTGCTGACCGTCTAATGCATATTACACGCAACACTTAAAAGAATCATAATCTCCAGTCAGATTGGCTGACAGCAATGTGGGCACACAGGTTTTTATTAAAACAAAACCCTGTTTAAACTGGTGAGCGAAATCATTAACTGGATTTGCCAGGGTAGTGGCTTCAAATCTTTGAAGGACATTCAGAGGTTGGTTTCAGACACTAAGTAGGAAGCAAACGTGAACAGAACTGCATGTTATGGTTTGTTTTATGTGTGAAATAAGCAGTATTTATGTATTGTTTTATATATGAAATAAGCAGTATTTATCAAGTAAAGATTAGGGCTGTGTATCACTAGCAAAGTCACGATACGATACGTATCACTAAGTAGCACACTTAGCAGATATTTCCGTATTGCGCAAGTGTAAATCTCTGTTTTGGGGATTACGTCTCTTTATATCAGGCAACCCAGTTGTGTTCCTCTGCGGCCAGATTAAACCTGGTTGTAGCCTATATATGCTCTATTCATTCTTTTTTAGAAAACTCGCACTTTTCTACTCAATTTTAAACGTTGTAAAATTTTAAACAAATTAAGCGTGGTCCACTGCTGCACACGTGCCACAATATCGATACAGGGCCAGCTGTATCGATACTCGTATCGTCAAATCTCTGTGACGATACATCGTCGTATCGATATTTTGAACACAGCACTAGTAAAGATCAACAAATGTCCAGATGATGACGAATGATCTGATGGTGCTAAGGATCCGATTTAATCCTAAATATATATATATATTATTGCAGCTTGAACCATTTTAGATAGGATCAATGACAAATAAGAGTGTTAAAAATAAGGAAAAGGAAAAAAATATCTTAGAAAAATTGAAATATTTCTGTTTTCATGCTCGTTTTATATCGAGTTGTTTTGTTGTTTTTAACTAAAGTTTAAATTTAAAAACTGTAAAAATGTCATGTGGTTTAACTGTCAAGTCAATAATAACATATTTTCCTTACACGTGAAATGTATGTCAGTGTACAAACCTTAATCGTTATTTTCAAAAATATATTCAAAAGCATGTTTTGCAAATAGTCTCCTTGGACTCAAAATTGTGTGTTTCAATGGCAACACTATTACCGTTGAAATGAATCCATGTAATTATATATATTTTTTTTATAACATTATTAATATTGAAATGAATCTGTGTAATTTGAGTAATCAATAAACAAAACCACAATACAAAAAAGTCACAGTCGTTATGCAAATAACTTTCATAATTACAACTTAAAGGGGTCATATGATGCGATTTAAATTGTTCCTTTCCCTTTGGAGTGTTACAAGCTCTTGGTGCCCGCATATTCATTATTCATTACACCAAATACACAAAATAATGTTCTTTTTAGCAGCATCATATGACCCCTTTAAAATTGAATAATTTCAAGTTTATTTAGCAGGACATTACACATTAATTATCTAACTCTGTGTTAGCAACATTGAACTGTATTATGTGTTTAGTTTATTTTCAGACCTTGCATTGTTAATACATTAATATAATAGTCAATTATTAGAATTATTTAACAGAAATATTATGAGATAACTACATCTTACTGCTAAAGCCGCTGCTATTTTGAGTGTTTGCATGTAACATTGCAGTGATCAGGTGGTACAATTCGGAGCTTTCAGAAGATTCCAAGTTTACAAATTATAATTAGGAATTCTGCGAGGACTTCTGGGTAGTTGAGGCTTTTTACATTTTATGGTAATTCCGACATGACTTTTCTGCACACTGGTTGCATTACGTGACATCATGTTCCAAACCTCTATGAGTTTCTTTCTTCTGTTGAACACAAAGGAAGATATTTTGAAGAATCCTGGTAACCAAACAGTTGACGGTAGCCATCGACTTCCATAGTATATATATTTTTTCTATACTATGGAAATCATTGGGTACCATCAACTGTTTGCTTACCAACATTCTTCAGAATATTTTCTTTTGTGTTCAACAGAAGAAAGAAAAAACAGGTTTGGAACAAGTTGAAGGTGAGTAAATGAGTAAATAGCAGAAGTTTCGTTTTTGGGTGAACTGTCACTGAAATGTCTTTGATCCTTTAACTGCCCTTAAACAGCATGTAGAAGCAAACCAACTGAGGTTAATTAGACGGTTTCTTCCCATCTAGATGGGAAGTTCTTGTTTAGTTCTTGGGCAGAATAAGCAGCAAAGTGAGCCAGACTCTATAGCGATCCTAAAGAGTCTGTCTACTTGAGACTGAGACATGAATCAAGTGAAAAGAGGCAGAAAGAACAGAACAATCCTTTTCTGCTGTCATATTTACTGTGCTGCGTCTCAAAGCTCCCTGTGCAATTAGCCAAAAGCTCAGTAGCTTCATCACACGGCTTCTTGAATACGTTACTCCCACTGGAGTTGATTTAGTCGGAAGTGACTTCATTAACCACTGGTTCCAGAGATCAAACACACGTTTCAAATGTTACATTGCTGTCTGAAGCCTTTTGCCACTAGAATGGAGTAATAGTGAAAGCGTGTGCAATGTTTCTCTGTTAAATAGCAGAACATGCATGTAGGGCCCTATGAGTTTCACAATGCAGGAATCGTGGAATCCAGTCATAAATGTTGATTTGACTGTATAAATCAGAATGTCATGGAATTTGGCAAATTTAGGATGAATGAATCAAAAGTAGTGCTGTACACTTCATCAAATGGCGATAAGGATGAGTGTCTGTGAACAAACCGCAAAAGGCCTGCTATTGAAATATGAAGTCTGCATGTTCTGTGTGAATGAGCGGCACAGTTTGGTCTACTGCACATACTAAAGCATGCGTGATGCTCGTGATGTTTTAAGAGTCTGTCAGAGAGTCAGTGAGAGTCACTTCACCAGCTGTTCACTTTTCATTTAAATAAACTATTGTCAGATAGACACAAAAATGTACTTAATTAGTCTTAACTAGGGCTGGGTATTGAGTTCAATTCTTTTTAGGCACTGACCGAATTGCCTTGATACTATCGAGTATCCAAAAATATCTTGTCGTTCGCTACCAAATATTGATACCTAAGGGGTTAAACTCATCAAAGTCAGTGAGCTAATAAGCATGCAGCATGCTTTATGTGCCTAAATCAGTGATTGGCTCTGGCGAGGCGTCAAGGAAAACGCATGTTACGTGACCATTCACTCACACTGTAGCATCATGCTACTTAAGACAATTTATCAAATTTATACTATGCTTTTACCCAAAACTCAATTTAAACCACCATCAAGTGTTTGTAATAACTTCTGATTGTGGTCTAATGTGGGTTTTGGTCATTAAATGTTGCAGACATTGCATAATAACATATTTGTAGCCTTTTATATCAAGCTAATCGCTACACCTGCTTGGCATTTCTCATGTACCGTACACACCCTGTATTGCTATAAAAATAGGCAGAATCTCATGAAAATCACATACAAATCATATATTGTCCTCAGGACATCATCAGTGAAGAGAGGGCTTGTCTGTCTCCCGAAAAAA